TTTTTTTGCCCTGGTAGGTACTTTCCTGGTTCCCTGCTCAGTCCCCTTTTTAAATAGACAAATGGGCGAGTTCCCGTGGCTCCAGTCACCAGCCAAAAGGGCACCTGGCCCAGTGTATTTTGTAAGGAGAAATGCTGCTCTGGGGAGCCGACAAAGCAGCCACGCGGGGCAAAGCAGCGGCGCCGGCCGGCACAGCCGCACTGGCTGAAACAGCCACGCTGGTGACCTGTGGAGCTCCTCCGTCTGGGAATTGCCTAGTCTGTGGGCAATAAAAATGCAGCATCCACTCACCCTCTGCGCTTTCACTGGGAGCTGCAATCCTGAGCTGTTCCTAAATGGCCATCTTGCCCAACATTATCTTAACAGTGGTATGATTAAACATTCGAATCACTGTTTTTACATCTTGATAGTTTTAGCTTGAACTTGTCTGACGACTAATGAGTCTAGGATGGCTCCTACATACCTACCTTGATATGGGTTTGGGGTGGTGAAGGAGACAGTTCACAGAGATAGATAATGCAAGAGGAGAAAGGGGAAGTCATAGAGTATTACGGTGTGGGGGTGTTAGACAGTTAGAAACACGAACTGAATTTTAGAAAAAGATATTGGAGAAAGCACATGTTTAAAAATCAACATGAGATGACTTTGAGCAGATAGTGGAATGGGAGGTCACCTGCTCATATTCCCACCACAAAAACAAAAATTCTGTATGCACTCACAACAAAAGTCTCTCTGTAAGAGTCTAGGGATTCAGTTACTGCCTTTCTTAACCAAAAACTGGAGCAGAACAGACAGCCCAGGGACCCATCCAGTGACTCATCAGGAGCCCTCCCAGAAACCTGAAGGAAGCCAGACCCATCAACACACTTTGGAAGGAATATGAACATATTCTTGGGAGAAATATGGACATACAGATTCAGGAGGCTCAAAAGGTCTTAAGCAATACCAATTCAAAAGGAGTACTCTGAGACACATCATAATCTAATTATTGAAAGTCAAAGGCAAAGAGAGAATCTTCAAAGCAGCGAGAGAAAAAACTGTCACGTATAAAGGATCTCCCATAAGACCATCAGTAAATTTCTCAACAGAAACCTTGCATGCTAAAAGGGAATGGAATAGCACATTCAGAATGCTAAAAGAAGAAAATTTCCAACCAAGAATACTACACACTGAAGAGCTGTCCTTAAGAAATGAAGGAGAGATAAAGAATTTCAAAAACAAGAAAAGGATGAGACAGTTTATCATCACTAGATTGGCCTTACAAGAAATGCTAAAAGGAGCTCTTCCAGTTGAAGCAGAAGGATGACAAGTATCAATATGAAGACATGCGAAAAAATAAAACTCACTGATAAAAGCAAATGTATAGTCAAATTCAAAATACTGAAATACTGTAAAGGTGCTGTGTAAATCACTGTTAACTCTAGTATAAAAGTTGTAAACAGATGCATTCAAAACAACTATAGCTATAAATAATTGGTTAAAAGATATACAATATAACTAAATATAAAGTATTCCATCAATAGCATAAAATATGGTGGTGAGAAGAAGTCAAATTGTAGGATCTTTCTATGCAATTGAAGTTAAGGTATTATCAGCTTAAATTAGGACATTATATGATGTTTTATGTATGCCTTATGAAAGCTACAAAAAAGACTAGTAGATACACAAAGATAAAGGGGAATCAAATTATGATTTATATAATTATATATATTTATATAATTATATGTTATATATATTTATATAATCATATATATTTGTATAATATATATTTATATTATTATAAAGACAGGAAAGTTGGGAGAAATGAACAAAAGAACTACAAAACAGTCAGTAGAAAATTAATAAAATGCCAGTAGCAAGTCCTTACCCATTAATACTTACATTTGATGTAAATAAATTAAATTCTCCCAAAGAAAGAGTGGCTAAATGGATAAAGGGACTCATTTTAGCCTTAAGAGCACATGTCGATTGAGAATGAAGGTCTGGAAAAAGATATTCCGGGAAACTGGTAATCAAAAGAGAGGAGGTGTGGCTATGCTTATATAAAACAAAATAGGTGATAAGTCAAAAACGATAAAAAGAGACAAAGAAGGACATTATATCACGGTAAAGGTATCAATTTATGAAGAAGATATAACAGTTTTAAATATATATGCATCAAATATTAGAGCTCTTAAGTAAAAAAAACGTGAGATAGACTATAATACAATAATATTAGAGACTTCACAACACTCTGCTTTTAACAAAGGACAGATCACCTAGACAGAAAACCAATAGAGAAATAGTGCCACTCACCCTTAAGAGAAGGGCATTATGTAAAGTATGTCATACCATGATCCAGGAATCCTGGAAGGTCTTCTTAGAATTCTGCTTACCATGCTTGCTCCAGATGGCTGGTTAAATGACTTTTCTTTGTTTAATGGATCCAACTTGCTGATCACTGCTAGGTGAACAAGTATGCAATAGACAGGTAAATAATGGTTAGTCTGTATCCTAAAGTGTAGATGTAGCATTTTTCTCAACAAATGAAAACAGCACTAGAGTCAACTTTTTTATTTCGAAGAAGCATCAACAGCTTTTATTTCCTTACATGTAAACCTTACACTCTCCAAATAATTTACTTTAAAAGCAAAAGAAACTTAATACTAGAAATATGACAAGGTATTTGCTATTTCTTATGTTAGTATTTGTGGGAAATGATTTTTATATAATGAATTCCTGCTGTAATTCTTATTTGACATCAGGTAGTTCCACCCCACAAGTTTTTTTTCTCACTGAAAAGCCAGACCTGGTGGCTCATGCCTATAATCCTAGCACTTTGGGAGGCTGAGGCAGGCGGATCATGAGGTCAAGAGATTGAGACTATCCTAGACAACATGGTGAAACCCCATCTCTACTAGAAATACAAAAATTAGCTGGGTGTGGTGATGCATGCCTGTAGTCACACCTACTTAGGAGGCTGAGGCAGGAGAATTGCTTGAGCCCAGGAGGTGGAGGTTACAGTTTTTTCTGACAGTTCTCCTGATGTCCAAATTGGTTGCAAGGGAAGCCAAGGACCACCAGGCGCCGGGGAAAGCGGCATTGCAGCTCGTTGAGCTGGGTGAAGTCCCGGGTGGTTGTGCCTCACAGCGAAGCCACATTCTCAATCAGCACGGCCCTGCACCAGAACATGTTTAAATCTACCTTCTCCCCATCCAGGCTGATGGCACTGAGGTCGTAGAAGGACTTGGCAATGAAAGCCATGGTAAAGTGCAGAGTGAGCCCCGCAGAGAGGCCTGAGCCCACTTATAAATGCATCGGAGGGGTGGGGAGGAAGGAGGAGCCGAGAAGGAGGCTTTTTTTTTTCTTTCCCTGCATCTTGGTGGTCATATTTATTGGAGGGGCTTGAGAAAAATGAAAATATAATTTAGCTTAAGAAGTTGTGAGTTATCTGCAAATCAACTCATTTCAGGAGTGGAAGAATCCCTGGAATTATTTCTTAATATCAAAATGTATGCAGGTTTCTCTTTTGAATGTCTTGTACATTTAAAGAGGCCCCTGTACAAAGTCTCTACAAGACAAATTCTTTGTTTCAGCCAACTCTCAGCGGAGGGGCAACCAGTACAACACCATCTCCCCGGACAAAAAGCATTGGAATATTTCGTTTCATTGATTTATATATCTCTTCATATGTTTCTTCATCAGTTTCTATAGTAGTCACAGTTTCTTCTACATCTCCTAAGATCATATTTAAATGTTGATCATAAGCGTGTAATCTGCCTCGAAGCTCTCGGTCATTTCTCATTTTCACATAAATGCGCTCATCTGGGCTGAGCCTGATAAGATCCAGGGGCTCCTCTACAGTGTTGGTAGTTTGTTGCTGGTCTACGTCGTCCAATGTTTCAAACCCTGAGCCCCTTCCCGCTTCTCACGAGAACACAAGAGCAACGCTGATCTCCGGAAACAGGAGATAACGCTCTTGCACTCCAGCCTGGCCATAGAGCAACAAAGGGCAGTCTCCTTTAGGGCAGAAATCAGGAAATACCCCTAATTATGGATGCCTATTGAGATTTTTAAAGAAAAGTGGATGTTTATATGGTTTGCCTAGGTGAAAATAATTTTTTGGCATTTTTAAAAAGTTCCTATTGATAGTTTCTTGATATTTATTTTTAAAATGTTCCGGTACTTTACAAATGCATATTATATAATTAATTATGTAGAATTGAACATACCTTAAACTTGAGGGTGAAGGAAATAGTAAAAATCAGTGATCCTGAAAGAAAAAGGCCTTCTATACTTTATTGTTAAATTATTTTAACTATATACATTATATTATGCTGAGCATATATCTCTTGAATATGACCTTTTTATTAAACAATCGAGTAGGGTAATGAAAATACTGATATTTGGAAGAATTTTGAGTAACACTAATTTCTTGGTGGTTTTACAGGGTTTATGCATAGAAGAAACTCTTAAAGCTTCACTCATTATGTGATTCACCTCATAAGACAAAACTTTAGCTTAAGAGAAGGCAACAGAAATCAGCAGTAAACATGTAAAATAAGTAACTCATATAGTTTTAAAAGTCTTATACATAACACTTTTAACAGGTTTAGGGGAGGAAATAAAGGTACCTGAAACAGTATTCACCTTTTTTCTTGTCCCTCTGCCAGGGCAGCTCACATCACTTCTGTAACACAGCATAGTTGTAGAGATTCATTGGCCTATAGTGTGTGTGTATGGGGTGCAAGGGGATAATTAAATATTTGAACTGAGAATCATCATCAAAAAGAGTACTGCAGTGTTCGGTAGGGGCTTCCATTAACAGTGTAAGGCAATCTTTAAAATGTGGTTTCCTGTGGTTTAAAATGAGGAAAATAAAAATAGAGAAAAGAAGAAAAAGAAATGCTAAAGGAAAGGAAATGGGAAGTTTTACTCTTTTTCCCTACTAAATTGCAGGTATTTAGTGATATTCGTTAGTTATGGAGAATCAGAGACCCAGAGCAACCCCAACCAGGTAGAAACGAGAGTGGATTTGGGAACTGCAATCTTGACATGCAAACGGAAGTCCTTGGGAATGCCAGGATAGTCATGGTCTTGATAGGATGGGGCCTCCAGGAACGTCAAAGGGCCTGGGCAGAGTAATTCCTCTGGTAGCTCTAAATACAGATGGCGAAGCAGGGGGTTTGCTGCTTCCAACAATTATTTGTAAATTTCTACTTGATATTGTCATAGTAGATAGAGTCTATTAGATATAATCTGTAATTTTATTAGTGTTTGAAAGGAGTAAAGATTGGCAGGGTGGTGTAGTTTGAAATTCTTAATTTGGTGAGCAGGCTAGGAGGCATGTCTGTTTTCCTTGCAACTCGTGGCAGCATGATAGACTCATCCAATGGTGTTTTTTAGTTCTTTGCAACAAGTTGCTATTTCAGTAACAGATTAGAACCCCACAGCTGATTTTCTTTGAAGACTTATTATTGAAGAAATAAAATACATTTATTGTAATAGACTTAACATAAAAGGTTATCCTGTAGAAACTATGGATATGAGGCAGTATGTGGCTAAATGGGTTCCAAAGTGCTTGTTCTATCTTTCTACAAAATAGTAGCTTAACCTAGGAAAAGCTTGACTTGAGGAAAAGAAAAATATAGTATTTTCATCAGACATTCATTGAGCCCTTACCTTGGGCATTGTTTGAGGAACTGAGAATAAAAAGATAAAAAAAATCAGATTTCCTGCCCTCGAGGAGTTTACAGTCTAACAAAAAATGCTACCTGGTACCTATGTGCTCTTATCGCAGTTAAAATGCAAAATTATGAACTATGTCTCCTTTTGGAATCATTTGTATAAAACAGAATCATAAAGACAAAGAGACTGCAGAGTATAATTATATCTAAGGTCTATGAAAAGTGTCCATACTCTAGCCATTGGTCTACATATTTTTATAGGCATTGTATTCTATACTGCTGTGCAATGTACAATGACAGACTCTCAGAGACATACAAAAATAGACATTCATTTACTCATTTATCTGAGCATTGGCTGGAGTTAGCTAATTCAGGCTGTGCTCAACTGGGCAGCTCTGCATCATGTTTCTGTTATCCTCCTCCTGGGACCAGAGGGCTGTTCTTCTCTGGGCATGTTTCTCCCAGGGTGATGATAGAAAATAAGGACACCAACAGGCACCATAACTTTTTCCCGATTCTGTTAGCCAAAGGAGATCACGTGGCCCACTTTAGTCAAGAAATAGGGCAAAAATTTACTCTTGTAGAGAAAGAAACTGAAAAGTCATATGGTAAACAACATGGAGACAGGGAAGGCTGAAGAATTATAGTGAATAATGCAATATACTACAGGTATTAACTTAATTCTGGCAACAGCTTCATAAGGTAGCTATACTCAATACTCCTTATGTGTTAAAATGCAGGAAGGGGAGTATAGAGACCACTGCACCTGAAGCTAGACTCTACTGAGTATTGCTGGCTCTTCCACTTATTAATTATATGACTGTTAGCACTTACCCTTTTGTGCCTTAGTTTTCTCATAAGTAAAATGGTGATAATAATTTTACATACCATAAGGGTTTCATGAGAAACAAATGAATATGTGTGTAATATGTTTAGAACCATGTTAGACATATAATAAAGGCTTACTAAATTTTGGCCGTTTTACTGAATGGATAGTTAACATTTCTGGAAAGTTTTACTGTGATCACAAAGCCATGGAACTCAGTATTAACAAAAATGATCAACAGCTCCTGCGTCTGCTTTTGCCCTGTGATGTGCCTGTTTTCCTTTTGCCTGCCGCCATGATTGGAAGCTTCCTGAAGCCTCCCCAAGGCAGATTCTGCTATGCCTCCAATACAGCCTGCAGAATTATGAGCCAGTTAAATATATTTTCTTGTAAATTACCCATTCTCAGGTATTTCTTTACAGCAGTGTAAGAATTGACTAACACAGGAAATTGGTACTCAGGAATGGGACATTGCTGTCAAGACCTGAAAATGTGGAAATGACTTTGGAACTGGGTAATATGCAGAGTTTAGAAGAGTTTGGAAGGCTCATAAGAAGATAGGAAAATGAGGGAAAGTTTGGAACTTCTTAGAGATTGGTTAAATGGTTGTGACCAAAGTGCTGATCGTATTAGGTTGGTGCAAAGGTAATTGTGGTTTTTGCTATTCAAAGTAACATATGGACAGTGAAGTCCACATTGATGGGGTGTCAGATGGAAATGAGGAACTTACTGGAAACTGGAGCAAAGGTCACCCGTTTTATGCCTTAATAAAGAACTTGCCTACATTGCGTCCATGCCCTAGGGATCTATGGAAGTTTGAACTAAAGAGTGATAATTTGGAGTATCTGGTTGAAGAAATTTCTAAGCATCAAAGCATTCAAGAATAATCTGGCTGCTTCTAAGAACCTACACTCAGAAATGGGAGCAAAGAAATGGCTTAAAGTTGGAAATTACAATTAAAGAGAAAGCAGAGCATAAATGTTTGGAAAATTGCAGCCTGGCCCTGTGGTAGAAATGAAAAGCATATTTTAAGGGCAAGAACACAAGAGGGCTGTGGAGAAACTACTTGCCAGAGAAATTTGCATAACTGAAAAAGAGCCAAGTGCAAATATCGAACACAATGGGGAAAAGGCTCAAAGGCATTTCAAAGATCTTTGAGACAGCCTTTCCTTTAACAGGTCCAAAAGCCTAGTACGAAAGAATGGTTTCAGAGGCCAGGCCCAGGGCAGCACTGTTCTGTATCACCCAGGAGGCTGCCCCCCATATCCTGGCTGCTCTGGCTACAGCCTTGGCTCCAAGGGCCCCAAGTACAGCTCAGGCTGCAGCTCCAGAGGGTGTGATCCATAAGCCTTGGTGGCTTCCATGTGGTGTTATTCCCGTGGATATGCTGAGTTCAAGAGTAAAGGAGGCATGGCAGCCTCTGCCTAGATTTCAGAGGATGTATGAGAAAGTCTGGATGTTCAGGCAGATGCCTGCTGCAAGGGTGGCACCCTCACAGAGAACCTCTACTAGGGCAGTGTGGAAGGGAGCTGTATGGTTGGAGGCCCCACACAGAGTTCTCACTGGTGCACTGCCTAATGGAGCTGTGGGATGGGGGCCACCATCCTCCAGACTGCACAATGGCTGAATAAACAGTAAGTCTGCAACTTCAGCATCGAAAACCACAAGGGAATTGACCAGGCCTTGGGATTCTACCTCTTGGACCAGTGTGCCCTGGACATGGGACGTGGAGTCAAAGGAGATTATTCTGGAAGTTTAAAATTTAATGACTGCTCTTCTGGGTTTTGGATTTGCATAGGGCCTGTGTGACCCCTTTCTTTTGGCCAATTTCTCCTGTTTGAAATGGGAATGTTTACCCAATATCAGTACCCCCATTGTACGTTGAAAGTAAATAGTTTGTCTTGATTTTACAGATTCATTTGTGGAAGAAACTCCTCTCAATTATGACTTTGGAACTTGGACTTGGAAATTGTGATTGAGTTGATGCTGGAATGAGTTAAGACTCTGGGGAGCTGTTGAGAAGGCATGACTGTATTTTGCAATGTGAGAAGGACATGATTTTGGGGACGAGAGGCAGAATTACATAGATCGTGTGTTTGTCCCCATCCAAATCTCATGTTGAAATGTAATCCCCAATGTTGGAGGTGGGGCCCGGTGGGAGGTGTTTTGATTATGAGGGTGGATCCCTCATGAATGGCTTGGGCCATCCATTTGGTGATAAATGAGCTCTAGCTCTGAGTTCACACAAGATCTTTTTGGTAAAAGCATGCAGCACCTTCCCCACTGATTCTCACTCCTGCTTTCACCATTTGATATGCCTGCTTTCCTTTTGCCATCTACCGTGATTAGAAGCTTCCTGAGGGCTCCCAGAAGCAGATGCCACAATCTGCAGGCTTCCTGTAATGCCTGCACAACTGTGAGCCAATTACATTCTCTTTTCTTGTAATTAAAAAATATAATGAACTCAGAACAATTTATGTCAAATCATATCTACTCTTGTTCTTGATCTTAAAATGACAGACACTGTTCTCTACCTGCTATTTACAACTAGTGTTTTGTCATTAAACAATATTTTGAAGATATCCTTATCAGTATTGTTATATTTTATAATAGAATGAAACATACTATTCTTTTAGTAAAAGCTATACATTAATTTAATAATAATAGTTGCTGACAAATTTTTATTCACTCTCAGGGAGTGTTCAGGTTATGTCACCTAGTTTCCATGAAAAGCTCTATTTTTCGTTTTATTTCTCACAGATTTCTCTTTTTATTGCCATAACCCATTATTCATATATATATGTATAACTTAGAATTTGCAAAGTTACAACAAAGTATAAAGATTTAAATCCGAGTATTCCAGGGTTTTGTATGAAGGATTTTGTGTTTGAGGAGGGATCATCTTGTGACAAAATATTGAAGTAGGTATTTATTCAATTATAAAATATTACTTATATACCATCTACTCACAGGTAAAAATTGTAGTAGGCTCAGAAAATACAGATGAATAAGATGTGGTTCTTAACTTTAAGAGTTTATAGTCCAATGGTAAACAGTAGATAATTACAGTGCTATGTGGTAAGTTCCAGTAATTACCCACATAGTACTCTGGACATCTTACCTAAATAAATGGCAAGGAGGGAATTAGGGAAGTCTAGGAGTAAACCAAGTGGAAAATGAATATGTGGAGT